TAGTTTGATTAACTGTTTACGTATTTGGTTTATTTGGGAGATAAAAAAGGTATTGTTATTTTCGCATATTTTTTGGAATAAATCTGAAGATTAAGGTTAATCGATCAATTACCCTGTTCATGGTGAATCTTTATAAACTCTTCTATCTGAGCTGGCGGTAAATGTTTTATAGATTCGGGAAGAAGCGCAAGAATTTCCGTGATATTAGACATTTTTAATATAAAAATAAGAGATATTTAGTTTTTTTTTTACCCAAGCCAGTCTTATTTATACATTATCACTCGGCACGAGAAAAAATGAATCGTTCGTTAAGTGAATTCAAGAGAGTCTAGATGTTCACATTATTCGAGTCCTACAATATGAGCTATTTTTGGCAGAATAAAATTCACCAAAGAAATCTGCACGATAAAATCTATCCGGGGTTGTACCATGGTTTGCGGTTATCACCAAAAAAGTCAATTTTTCGTTTAAAAAGATCGGCAATTTTTTTAATACGTACGTACCTCCAGTTTTACCGAAGCGATTTTGTTGTTACACTTGATCTTGCTAAAAAAGGTGAAACTGATTAATGGCTCAAAATAGAAAAAATTTTAAATGTCAATATCTTTCCGATAATTATATTCAGTTAATTTTTGTGCTAAGCCGATGCATGCAGCATGTTTTCAATGAGCGTTGCGACTTCTTATTCGAAATGTATACTTACTTTAATTATCTTTATTGTTCAATCCATTATTGCTTTATCAAGCGTATGGATTATTAATGAAAGCATTGCTCGCGAGCAAATATAAATAGGGTCTTTCGACTACAACTAAAAGAAAAGTAATTTTAATCTAAAGAAAAATGAATTCAACCGAAGAACTTTCACAATTATCATCGTCGATAAGAGATTTTACCCCCGAACAATTAGGCGAAGTGTTGAAATTGCGGAATAGAACTTGTAAGTTTTAAATGCATTCAATGTCGAAAGAAATTTGTTATTCACTCTTATTCATTCCAACACAACAGTATCTTCAACCACATGGCCACTTTTTACAACAAATCACGCAATCTTTTTGATTGGGCTTTACGTAATGTCCCGGATATGCGAAAGAATAATAAAATACTATCAACCCAAGATCTCCTTATTGCACCTAAAGAATTGCACCACATATATTCTCGAAATATTTTGGACATTCGTTATTTTACTTTTACAATTGATATCCTATAGATTATTCGTTCGTGATTTTAATTTTTATGATTTCCAGATCACGCAAATTCTTTGCTTGATTTTAATTGATTTGTGAGTATTTTGAATGTTTGCATTTTTGTATTTTAATAAAATAAAGATTAACATGTTATTTATTAGGTATATATTTGAATTATTCTATCGACCTATGATGCGATTACCACTGGCTATACATCATTTAACTACAATCTCGCTCATAATCTTTGCCGTATATATTATAGAAGAAGCGTGAGTTTATTAAGACGCGTTCCCTTTCACCGTAATTGAATTTATACTTCCTTCGTTATTAATATTTTTATATTTGGATGTGTATCAATAGCAAAAACTTGGATCTGGTTCCGATAGGATTAATCTTATATTTTCAAGCTAGCACCGAACAATCAACTTTTCTTGGATTACTTTTCTATCGATTAAAACCTTCTTGGGCGTCACCGGTGTTGTTTTTTGCCGCTATTCAAGTTTTCATTGTTAAATTTTCTATGCTTATTTGGTTTTACGTATTTTGGGGTAATTACAATTAATACAATGATTATTTCGTTATCGTTATGAAATTCACGCTAACCATTCATGCTCGTTTACTTGTATGCCACAGGAAAACATGTGTTGCCAAATGAAGGTAAGACGATAAATGCATGCGAGATATTTACTGTTCATGTCTAATCATTTTCTCCATCTTTAAATAAAATTAGACGGTCAACCCTTAGTAAAAGCAGCCAACGTAGTATTTCCAATCGGCGGATTCATCCTCTTTGGAACACAACTTTGGTCGACTTATGTCGTATGGAAGATCGCAAATCAAGCTCGTCAAAATCAAAATCAGCAAAACGGTAATGAAAAAAAATTGGAGGAAGGTTCTGCTAGTAATCGAGCCTCTACGATTAGGGTTGATGAACCCGATCAAAACGCTTAGATTTTTGTATATATATATATTCATATTAATGTAATATTAATTAGAGTGGTTATCCTTCCTATTCATATTTGTGAAATAAATTCATTTGGCTAGATCGCTATATTCGATCAATTTCCCTTTTCATTTTGTAATACATGCACATTCCAAAAAAAAATTCAGCCCAACATGTACAATTTAGATCGAACCTTAGTCTAAAAAAAGGTAAGATCCTTGTGATTGTTCTATATATGGTACTACCATCCTTTGTTCTAATTAGAGACATTATCGTTATCGTTATGGGATTGTAATTGCTTCCAGTATGGTAGCATTTTTAGTTTGTATGAGTTAAATGATCTCGGGGAAAATGATGTTTTTGATTTGGACCGTGTTGATGATCATAATGTGAATGAATTAGCTTGTGAACTTGCCGAATTTTTTAAAGTGATTTTTGAAATTATCGATTCTTTCATGACATTACGAAGAAGCAGTCGCCGAAGTGACAAAGTTATATAATGGAGATAGCGATATGCTATCAATCATTACATTATCAATTTTTTAAATTATTGTTAAACTTTTACATGCAATTAATTTTGTATTTTCATTGTCAAATACTATCGCAGCTAGATCCTCCTTGTGTTACATACACGATAACAATAATTTAGAAACGTACACATTAATGCTAACATTTGATTGACATCGAATGATCCATTGGAAAGGTGGTGAAACAAAAACAATTCTGTAGCCAGAGTTCGAGAACGGATTGGATTGTGTTGACATCACACAAGTATACGAGTCGCTTTGATCTTGCATTTAGTTTGACCAGTGATTTCAAATTTATTCTTGTTAGCTGATTGCGAAAAGTACGCATCATTTCAAACGTGTTTTTTAAGGAGAAAACAGAAATGATTAACTATAAAATTCCTTTAACAGAAATCTCTTGAAAGGATAAATTATTTAGGAAGAGTATGAATATCAGAAGGAGAAATCGGTTTGATAATACGCGGCTTGGTAGAGGGATAATGGTACTTTTTCCTCTTTTACCACGTAAATGGTTATTGTGAGGTTAACGGAAATGATAAATATGTTTGTGTCCACATGAAAGCCCGAGCTTCGGAGAAAGTCAGATTTGAAAAATTGAATTGAATCAGGCAGTATGTATTTTTTAATAATACGAGCAGCTGAAAGATTTGATTGTGCCCCTCTCAATAATGTTTATTATAACTAAATACATGTATAGTCAAACCCAATAATAACGATAACGGTAATGTTTTCTAAGAATATGATTTTATTATGCATGTGACTATAAAAAGAATGTATGGCTTAAAAAACTGACTATCGCTATCTTTTAATTAGACATTTTCTGCGAAAATTAACGTTAACGTTAAATTTAATTAAAACAATTGGTAATTTTTTAATGTAAATGTAAATGTAAATGTAAATTTAAATTAAATTTAATTAATAAATTTAAATTTAAATTTATATTAGTTAATAGTATTTATTGTCAAAATCTATATAAAAAAGGTGCTTAATGATTTATTACATTAAAATTTTATACTAAGAAAAATGTAATATTTTATTTTCAAGAATAAGAAATAATAGTTCTTATCACACTATTTTTAAGAACCAGTTATAATAAAATCACCTTTTTATAATATTCTTAGACGGTGTATCTATAGCGATAGAAGGGGTTGACTATATTTAATTAGTTCCAATAAACACACTCTGCATTGAGATATAGGATAGAGGGGCATGATTAAAACTTTTCAGCTGCCCCTCGTATAAAAGAATGATACAAGTAATTGACGATATAATTAAGAGGAGCACACCACGTATCACGTAATATTTTTTAATTAGTAAAGGGGTCTACCCTGTGATAGGAATTTGTACTACTGTATCATTAAAACATTATTATTAAAACATTATTATTAAAACATTATTATTAAGACGTGACAGGTCACTGACCCTATCTAATAATCATTAAGCTATTCTAATGTGAAATTAGGAACCGGAATTCCAAAAAAAGGTTAATTCGACGGCTTGCAACAACAATAGAATTTTTCTTTATAAAATTCATTTGCTCGATTCATTGAATTGAATTTAATATCAAGACCAGATTGACAATTATTATTTACAAAATTCTCAATGAAACTCGAGTTACAAGACATCTCTAGATTAAGAAAACTCTAGAAATAAGAAAAATAGAATAATATACTTTTCTCCAAGTTAATTAGGAGTTTAAGAGGGATTTTTTGTTTAACTCTAATAATACCATTTTTTGCCATTAGTTGGAAATATTGTTGCATCGATTGATGGTGTTCGTTGTATCCATGTCCCGTTACCGACTTCCTTTAGTATAAAATGTGCAACATCCGCTCTTGATACTTTCTTCAATATGATTTGATCATTATCATGTAATGAGTATTTTTTCGTTAACTTTCCATTTGATAAGCCACCAACCCGAACTATTGTCCAGTCCAAAAACTTTGAATTTTCCACGATCAGTTTCTCTTGCACTTTTTTATCATTATTATGCATTTTGCTGAAAAATAAACGCGTAAAAAAAGAATCGAGCGTTGAAGTACCGTGGCATCGAACGATAATTAGCCGCTTCACTCCAAGTCTTGCCATACTCTCATTTATATATCGTTGTGCACGTGAATTTAAATCGATATCGGACGTTCTTTGGCCAAGGAAATTCAGTAAATTAAATTCACATGACCTTCTTGGACCAAGGCAATTTATTACTACATCTTGTCCCTCGATTACTCGATCTAGGTTCGTACGTGAAAAAATTGAGCCGACACATATTACAAGATTTGGATTTCGTAATTGTTGACGGGTGAATGGTAAAGCTCGGTCATTTCGCACGAGTGTGGTTACATAATATGAAGCATCCAAAGCTTGGCGTACTACTTGACTACCAAGACGACCACTTGCGCCAAGAACTAGATTTACGAGATCATATTATAAAGTTAGAATAATGGATTTTTTGTCGTCTGTTCAATTATTTCATTTCATGCGAGAATAAATATACATGTTGTCAAAAGTATTGAGTCAAGGCCAAAATGGTTTTGACTGCATAAAAATCAATACATACCAAGAATATGTTTACCACGCATCGTGCTCGGCATATTTTCATCAAAAAATAGAGGATTGTATGATGTATGACTAGCTACATCGACTACATTATATTGACACAGATTAATATTGTTCATAATCTTGGCTTTTATCTATTGTATGAATTAAAATGCCGCTTAAAGAGTGAAATTGATTAAAGAGCGAGGAATGGAAAGAAACCGTGTTAAGGAATGAATTTTTCAAAAAAAAAAAGCAGAATGCGAGGAAACTTGTGGTATTTATATTTGGACCACATCCCCAAAGAATGTTGAAGGAGCATCAAAATTATTCGAAATCCGAGGGACTCAATACTCTTGGAAATTATACGTATGAACAATAATTATCGTACGTATATATAATAACAATACGTATAACGATGGAATAATGCAAGACACATATTATGTAATTATTGTTATGAATCGGTAATGGAAAATAAGGCACAAATTAACGTTACAGTGTATTGCTTCCATGTGGCAATAACGATAACATCCTAACGTCATATGTAACTATGAGGATTTTCCATTTACGTATTACACAAGTGATATTCCTCGAGAGAAGATCCTTTTTTAGATCCCAGTAAACGGACAACCAAACGAAAGAAACGTTCCATTCGCAACTTCATTCACTTTTCCCCATTTAACGAAATTTGCGCAATCAATCTTCAACATAGGTATTCCCATTATGGCAATGAATACGTCGAGATGACGAGATTAAACTTTCATAATTCTGATTGTGTTCTTTGTCTGATTTCGTGTGTTATTATGATTGTATTGAAAATTTCAATATAAAGCATTTAGCATAAGCTGTTTTCGAACTGGTCCAATCAATTCGATACGCTGAAAAATTAACACGATTAGCATAATATAAATTGATTTGTAATCAAATGATTGAGATAAATATATTCAAAAGGGATATCGATATACAATAACTAGTTGTTTTAAAATTGTTCGAAAAATTTATAAAAATCTATAATAAGAATCTAAAATGAGAATCGGTCAATGAAAATGTTCTATCAAATTTACTCTTATGGGCTCTTTCTCCGATTCTCTTCGAAAATAATGAAGAAGATGACGATATTTTGCATATACGTACTGAAGTGCTTGGTAATTTTGATGCTATGCTTTGAAGTGTAGATTAGATTTTATTGTCCTTGGAACCAACCAGAAACTTTACATTATAAATCTTCGAGTCTGTGGTGCAAGAACTCTTAAAAATTCTTTCAAACAAGTAAATCCAAAATTAATCAGTAATAATATTACCGGCTAAAATTTTGTATCTACTTCTTTGAAAGAATTTTTAACATGAAACATATTGTCGATTTAAGAGTTCCTGCATCAGATAAACGTGAAACCCTTATATGAAACTTTTACCGAAAATAAGCAATCCGTGACAAATAAGTGTCTACATATAAATATGTGACATTTAACACAATAAGAAAAATCACCAAAAAAAGGTAAACGGCAAAATACGGTAATTATTTTATTTGCCAATAAGCTTAATTTCAATTTGCTACGATAGGAAATATGTTACATGTATTTAAATATTCAGTTAATAAATAAAAAATTAAAAACATTGCAGTGTGCATACTCGGAATTACCGTGGCTGGGTAAGAAATTTTCCGATTAAATGCTGTGTTCCATGTTTGGAAAGCTACAGTCTTATGTAATGATTTACCACACAGTCTTATGTAATAATTTACCATTTGTTCGTACGTAGCATGAAGCAATAACGAAAACTTATCGAGCCCCCATTATTCTCGTTATATTTGGAAATCCAAAATGAAATGATATTTTCTATGATCATGCATTTATGCACATCGACATGAGAGTTTCCAACACGATTTTTATTTGTGCATTATGACGATGCAGATTTTCTGTTCGCTATGTTGCCAGTCCTAAAATTAGACATTTATAGAATATTATCACGTTTCTTTTTCTTGCATAATATGTGCCATACAGAAGGAAGAAAGTGAAACCTGTCGAAATATTTAGTGCTTTAATTTAATACCTTATACGAAATACGTAATTGCTTGTAGATATTCAAGTTGGAATGCAAAGCCGACTCTTTAGTAGATGCAACTTGATGAGTTGTATATGTAGATATTATAAAACTCTTAAGACACAATTGCTTCTAATTACTGTATCAAATGATATGAGCTTTTCAAGTATAATCTCAACAATTATGAATTATATAATGATTTGTGATGCTAATTACTATACATATACGTATTGTGAAATTCAAAGTTGAAGGTTCGAGCATAAATCCGATGCTATTATACTGTACAGATTTCAGAATTGAACTCGCTAGTTAAATGGTTCGTTTTTTTTTTCAATAATAAAGTTTGTGATCTTTTCTTATTTTGCAAAGACTGTAAAGCAGTTTCGTAGCACAAATCCCTCGTGAGCAAACACACATTTCGGTCCTTCCGGTAGCTTACAACAAGAAATTCGAGCACTAAATAATGTTTCGGTTAATTAATGGCGCGAAAAAACAGAAGATTAAGTTATCTTTAATTTTCATTATTTTATCAATATATCGGAATCTCCTTAGCATTTTACGATTGCATGTATATGCATTATATGCATTATGCGTATTATGCAACATACCTATTCTATTAAGAAGTCGCTTGTACACGTTAAATTTGCTGAACAATCGAAAAAGTTGTGGTATATGTTCGATCAACCAGTATAAATAAAGGACGTGTCTAGACACTTTTTTCCTTAGCTCAATCACAACAGAATATTAAATCTTCTATATCCTTGCATTTTTGGCTTATTATTACGAATTTGTAATTTGTAATGTTCAACCTAAGAGAGAAATCACAACCAAAAAGACCAATAATGTCTTTCAATCTTGATGGATTATTACCAAGTGTGATGCGAGGGAAACATATATTAGGTATTTATAATGATAAAATTTCGATAAAAGTGTACAAATCTAATATTTATTATTATTGTTTTTTAGTACTTGGGGCATGTAATCGCCTTGGGAATCAAGTTGTATGTCAAGCACTTGAAGCATCATATCATATCACGATATTGGTTCAAACCGATAAATCACTACCATTCACTCGTGCACAGCTACAAAACCCAAACTTGGTAATTTACGTTGGTTCGATCCTATCACAAAAAGATCTCGAAAAAGTTGTCGAAGGCAAAGATGCAGTAATAAACTGTCTTTACTCCAATAAAAACCCATGGAAACCTCAAAATTCCAATCTACTTTCTACTACACAAAAACTCTTGAACGAAGTCATGATTGCACATGGTGTCAAACGACTAATTGTAGTTCGAGGTCAACCTCATGGTTCAATTGTAAATAAATCATGGCCACGGATATTCACCAAGGACAAAGTTCAAAATGATAAAGAACAACAAGAGAAATTGATCTTAGAAAATTCGGAAAATATAGATTGGACAATAATTAACGTTGGAAAATTGACAAACGGAAAACTTACGGAAAATTATTCACTCAAAGGAGGAGTGAACAAAGTTGTTCAGGAGAAAGTTTCGAGAGCTGATGTAGCACATTTGATTCTTCAAGAAATTGGATTCGGGATGTGGGTTAAACGTGCCCCATTCATACATGGTGAATAATTGCCTTTTTTTAGACATTTTAATTTATATATGCTATATCGATATCGATATAGCAGATTTTGGACATTTTATATCTACAGAAACAAACTTATAAAGAACTTGTACATAAATTCTTTGGATTCTTTAATTTTTTGACTTTTTTATCGCCATGGCCGGTCCTTGGCAAATTGAAGACAACCGCAATCTCACTTTCTTTTTTGATTGATTAGCATTGCGTTATTAGCCAAAAAAAATTATAAGCATAGGCAGAAAGGTAGTTATTTCTTCGTGCCTTTATAATACACAAACTGACATTAATCTTAAATAGAGATGCAGTCGCAACATAACACATGCGTTATTAGTTATCTGATACACCGTATCACGGTTAGATCAGGTTACGGTATACGAAAGTTATCGAAAATCGCAATGATTCTGTCTTTAACGAACGCAATTATTATATGTTTCAGTGAATAATAATAATAATAATATAAAATAGTCTCCCATTAAAATAGTTAAGATTATTATATCTTTAATAAATGCTCCTGATTAAAAATTATAAAGCATATATCAAATCGCAGCATCCCGTAAACTTTTATTGTTTCTGCCGTTCTTTTAGTTCGTATCTCGTGATGCACAATTCCCATCCATCTTGCTCGACTTGTTATATAGCGTATAAAATTAGTTTTATTGAAATAATTTCAATCGATTTGATCATCTAAGGACTCTTTGCAATTTGCTAATTTCTCTTGCAGACACAAAGTTGTCATCAGCTTTTCTTGTTACCGCCAACCTATTATTGCCAGCCAACGTAGACACCAATGACCACATTTCCGATATTTGTTTAACATTTTCTATTATGTTTTTTTTAAAGTTGTATTTATTAAAGTGATTATTCTCGGTATTACTGTAAAGACCAAGTGTTCATGTCAAAAGACGCAAAAACACAAGCCACAAAGCTTATGGCAAAAGCATAATCCGGAGAATTAGCTAATTCGTATACATTATTTGCGTAGTTTCCTTTATGTATGGCCAAACTTTCACCTTGTACATTCAACGTGATCTGGATACGATGACCTTGTGAGCGAGCTGAAATTAATTGAATAGGAAATGTTATCGTCCACTATAATATAGTATTGTATCAATCATTTTGGCATCGATCGCATAAATCTATTATTCATAGCAAATTATCAATGCCAGAAATTCGTTTTTATATTGACAAAGTTGTACCCTTGATTTCAAACTTGATTGGGATCATCTAAAATTAATTAGTACAGGTTTTCGAACAGGAGTCTCGTAAAGAATAAAAAGGGGATTATTTCTGAATAGATAGACAATTGAACAAACAAAAAAAGGTCAAACAAAAGCCAAAAACGAGTTTCTTAAAGAATGTAAAAATACATATACGAGAATGTGTATATATACACACGCCTTTGGTTAGTAGTTTGCCGTGTGTTGAAGGTGTCCGTCCTGATTTCCTTTGTACAAAAAAGTGCAAAGTTTAAGTTTATTAAATATCAGATTCATACTCTTTTGAAATGTGTTTCCTCACGACACGACCAAAAATTTTTAAGCGACTCGAAGGAATCAGCAATAACGACACTAATAATAGCTATAATGATTTGCCTACACAACTTCCACCACCACCAATCACTATGAATTCTTCTTTTACTAATGCCAACTACATATCAAAAGATTACTATTCTACACCCCGACAACCAACTCCTTGGATCATCGCTCTAATCGTCACGATTTCATTTATTTTCTTTTTACTTTTACTCGGTTATTGCTCGTTACGTCGTATTCAAGCTGTTAATAAGCATCGTCGTCGCAATGATCCAAATTTAATTCCATTCGCAGTGCTTTCTAGGACAGAAATGACGACGACAACTGGCCAAACCAACAAAATTTACAGTAACGAAAATAATAGCAATCAGTCAAACACAAATTCAGTATTTTCTGTGACTCATGTTTCGTCTCAAGTCGATAAACCGAAGAAAAGTCTTGGAATACGTCTAAAGAAGCTTACGCCGCTTTATCTTTTATCTAAAGAGAAACGCGTGAAAACTTATCCTGGTAATGATCATCTGATCAATATGAATAACGTGACCGGTTGTAACAACATGCTCGTGTCATCCCCTCCTTCGAATAATAACATCGAGCACGAAAAGAAAACATACTCTCCAACTTCTACCTTTTATAATATCAATAAGAATACCAATTCCGCTGGTAATAGTAAGATCCTCGGCTGCATCTCAAAGCCTGGCAACACCAATAAAAGTGGTATTCGTCCAAGTGTAAGTTTCGCCGAATCACCTGAAGTAGCCTTAATTCGTGATCGTCAAAGTATCCTGAAGCTAAACCGACGACAAAGTAAATTCATTATAGAGCAATTTCGTGAATCGATCGAGTCGGAGAGAGACGAGTATGAAAACGATGATTATGATGACGAATCTTTGGATGAATTCTGTGATGATAACGTACAAACTATCACTATGAACGATATTTTAAATATGATTAATTGCGAGAATGGTATTGCTAAGGATTTATAATTTATTTATATATATATATAATAATAATTGGTTAATCATTCGTCTTTATAATTTAATTCGTTTATTGTAAGTTTTTGGACAAGCAGGACGCGTTCAAAACCTTTCATTCGTAATAGCAAAACCTGATTTCTAATACATTCATATTGAATACTTCTGATAATTTGTTAGCAGACAAATAGGCAATATTGTATTTTAATCAAATAAAAAATAAGCAAAGCAAAAACTATCTTTTAATTTCGTTCGAGACCTGAAATTAAAGTAGATGTGATATTTTTCTGTTCATAAGCGCCAAGATGCCTAAGGCATCTATATCTAATAGGGATCTACCCTACACAATTAAATTCACGTGCGCTCAATAAAATAATCAAATTCCAACTCCTAAATTCTTTGTGCGAAAAAGTTCATCAAGACCGTCAATTCCTTCATCCTCCAAGATGTTCTTCAACTTCAATTCATCAACGGCTTCACTCCAATTCATAATGCAACAACGCAAGGTTGCAGCTTTCAATTCATAATCATCATATTTCCTCGCAAGCATAAATAATGAATCCCAATTTTCTTTATTAACAGATTCCCTCAAGCGTTTGCTGACTGCTTTCAGAAGCGCAGGGATAGCATGGATGTGTGCCTCCGAGTATAGCTCAAAAAGAAGAGTTTGACTTGAAATAGTTTCCGGCAAATTTTTCGTATAAAGAAATTGAACGAGCGCGTAAAACGTTTCAAAGGAAACATGATTCACAGGGATTTGTTTTGCTTTTGATTCTTCCCATTCTCCGTTAAACATCTTATCGAAATAATGGGAATTCGCAGCAAGGATCAATTTATGAGCATAGATTTTGTTGCCGTGCTCAAAGACGAACTCGATGTCAGCAAACTTTTGATTGTTGAAATGGCTTGCAACGTAAATTTCAGGATCAGCTTGGATTCGTTCAAGGTTGTTTTGGTCATTCTTGTGATAAATGATTAATTTCAATTTTATCGAGGGGACACGAGTTTCCGTGATAATGGTCTCGTAATGTGGATCCGTTGCAAGGTCAAACCATTGCTCTTGTTTTCTGATATTTCCCAACATTACACCTGTGTCTTCATCAAAAGCTCTGATTTCGTATGACAGCCCCCTTGAAAAAATGTTGCTATTTATCTCCTCGAGAGTGCGAATTGGTTCAAGAGCAATCTTGATTTCATTGATTGCATAGTCTTCAAAATACGGGTATTTTTTTACCAAAATTCGCCACATTGTGAATTGTTTGCTGTCACTTCCGCCATCTACGTAGAAAATATCACTTTGTATTCTGGGTCGTATGATGTCTGGTATTGTCCACGTGTATTTTGAGAATCTGTTCGTTTGTTGAGGTTCTTTGGAGAGTGCCATTTCTTGAAGAATGAGATTTTGTATTTATAATAGATCAGCATTCAGATTACGGAGTTCCTGATCAACATTACACGATATATATATATATATATATATATATATATATATATAGAATCACAATTACAGATTATTTTTAGCACTATGGATGAGGATCAGTGATTTCTACTATCCATATATATACGTATATCACTGAAAAAAAAATGGCGAGATCCGAATATCTCGCCATTGAAGAATTATCTACAACCAGAAACAAGTGGAACTTATTCATTAAACGGTGATAATCTAGTGGTATAGTATTTATTTTTAGAAACTATTTTAGCGATCCGTCAAATATGACCGAATCGGGATATAATACATCAAAGTAAATTTCTTCTTAAGGAAAATTTGGCAGCTGTTAAAAATTCTCATATTACATAACGCTAACAAAAACCATACCCGCCCTTGCTCGTATTACATTTTCACCCTTTTTGGCATCGAATCGATTAACCGCTTACAGAAATCGACTCCGATACTATTCCACGCGATTTGAAGCTTTTCCCACAAATCATTTCTATTTGAAAATTGGGCCAGGAAGTTTCCTCAACTTCATTCCATAAGTTCTCGATTGGACTTAGGTCGGAGAACTTGTCGGGCCAATCAAGTAAATCGATATCGTTTTCGAAGAATCAACGTTGTGCTTTTCCCAGATTATGTTTCGGGTCATTATCTTGTTGGAAAAAAATTTCTTCTTCTCCAGCATCTTCTCAGAGGGTGTTAACAAATTTTTGTTTAGTATATCGACGTAGACGTTTGCATTCATCTTTTCGTCGATTTTTCGGAACTGGCCAACTCCATCAGTATCTATACACCCCCCAAACCATTACGGTGGGTGTAATATGACGGCTATTTAGCGACTCACCAGGCTTCACCCAGCAATACTTGCGCCCGTCCGACCTAAACAATTGAAACTTTCGTCGGATCGTAATACTAGCCGCAATCGTCAACCGTCATATTTCGAAGTTTTTTTGCCCAAGAAATTTGGCGTTTTCGGTGCATCTTTTCGAGCGATGGTTTCTTGCGTTTTATAAACCATTTTTCTGAAATGTACGCCATATGCTTTCGACTGAAATATCGATCCAAAAGTCGTTTCTGAGTTCATGTTGAACTTCTATGGCGGCGGTGCATCTTTCGGTCATCAACAATCGGATACAATACGTTCGTAGCTCTCCGAAAGAATTGTTGGGCGGCCAGGTTTTGACTTGTCCTTGAAACTTCCAGTTTCTTTATTTTTACATATTCGTAGGACAGAAGATGTGGACACTTGTTCCGACATGGTAATTTCTCGAATTGAATAACCTTCTTCACGGAGAGTATTTGAGTGCGTTTTGCTAATGAAATTCGAGGCATTTTTGGTTAGTTATTGCTTAGAATGACGAAAATATGTTTTTGAACTGTATGATGAAAAAAAGCGCTTTTATACTTATCTTTGTGGGCTTTCATTTCTTGTTCGAATCGTTCATATTAAACGGATCGCTAAAAAATTTAAAAAAATCAATATCTCATCGGTCAGAAGATAGATAGAAATAAGTTTTTTAATAATCAATACCGAAAATATTGATGGATTAAAATAAATTACCTTCATTCGTTAAAATGTCCTCCATCATAAGAAATTCGAACTTCGCCGTTTTTCGGTGATCCGTTGAGCTACTGTGTATAGTAATTTAGTGGGATCACAAATTAAGGTTATGGAAAATCGAAAATGTCCTCTGTAATCTGTAAATATTTAAACCTAAAATCTGAAATATTGCATAACTTCGAAATTCTGTCATGCTACGAAAAGATAGGCTTTGTTGATTTGGTTAATTACTTGGATACAAAATTTGATTGTTCAGATAGTTCAGTCAAGCAATATTCTTCTATTCACCTTTGATAGGGGCGGTTTGATTAAGAGACTGGTGGTACGGCTTAGGAGTTAAAAAGCACAATAGAATTCAAACACGTGAGCAGGATAATCCCTGTATCAAAAAACCTGCTTAAATTACGTCATGAGATATCATAAGATCGGGAGTCTCAAAATTGGTGGCTTTTAGTCTTTTAAAACAAAAGGACTTCCATTTATGTTAACGTTACTCAAAATACAGATGATAACGATAAGCTTCTTTTAAAGTTCAAGTCACAACGAAAACCATGATTCAACCGGCTTTTAAAACTATTAAACCATTTTATAGACAACCGCTATTCAAATGGTTTGAAACGAACCATTCCCTAACCTTTGGGAGTAATTGAACTATCATTTCATTCTATTTATCCACAATTTAAAATTTCCAAAAACGGTTATTAATAATGGCACACAAGTCCGCAGAAAAATCAGAGACCAACCAAAATAATAATGACGGCTCTGCAGCCACACCTGTCTTTGAACCGATACTCTTACAAGACCATCTTGATAGACTATTACCGTTGGTCCTGGGAGCTGAAATTTCAGAGCTCAAAGAGCTCAAAGCTTTATTGTGGTCTGCACCGGAGACCTCGGAGAAGTTAAGACGTTTCGCCAATGACACAAAAATTAATGTTATTTATATTACCAAAGAAAGAGAAGACGATAAAAAAGAAGGTTTTTGCCATGAAATTTTAAATACATTATTGTCTAACATAATATCGATTTACTCAATCTCAATTTTCCTAATGATCTAACTTCTTCATCATCCATAAATGTTATATTTTTCCTTGTCAAAGAAGATCAATCCTCAGTCACATACACCTACTCCATAACACAAGAATTCACATATCAACAAAACCGCGTCGCGTCAGTTGCACTGATAAAACTTGTGCCAAGTTTGGAACCAACTCGGCCACTCCAGCCACAAATACAATTTATTAATTTACCTGGTCCCGCAGCTACGGGATCAGGATTAAGTCCTTACGAGACATTGTATTCGACCATCCATTCGCTTTTCGATTCCTATGTAAATGCTATAGGTGAAAGCAGAAATGGGATAGTAGGCGCTGGTAGTAGAGCTAAACAAAATTATTCTAAAATGTGTATTTGATTTTGAAATAACCATTTGTGATTTATGAATGTTTAAAAAGCTATTCCAATGGTAAAGAAGAAAATCGCCGAATTGGAATTATCCTTGCCACATCTACAACAAAACATTGTCCCCAGAATTTCATTAAAAATTCATCCTGTTGTTCAAAAAGCCGTTGAAAAGGCACGTTAATATCAAAAGTCGATTTCTCCAATTCACTTCATTTGCTCATTTCTTTTTAATCTCTAAAATAAATAAACAGGCCAAACAAGAAAACATAAGGGTCAATGTTGACATGATTGATCCAGCACAACTCACCGATTCAATATTTCTTAATAAACTCCAGAATGATGTAAATGGATGGATTAAAGAAATCCAAAAAGTAACTAAATTGTCACGAGATCCGTCTAGCGGTACAGCTATTCAAGAAATTAATTTCTGGCT